TCCCGATTACAATATTGACATTTTTTTACCATTGCGTACGATTGCTGACTTGCGTTCCGCCCTTGTCCTCCATGCCCGACCGAACTATAATAAGTATTATGCTTCCCACCATCCCCTTTATTAGTATTTACCGGTTTACGTATTTTATTTACCACCTTCGTTAGCTCTACTTCCCGTTCCGTTTGCTCATAGGATAGCGCCATCTCAACGACCGTTTTGAGGGGTAGTGGTAACCCCTCTGACATCGCATTCGGAAAACGTATCCGTAAGGTATGATCCAGCTCATTTATATTTAGACCAGCTATTAATTGATCCCGTATCCGTTCTTCAACATCCGTCTTGAAATTTGCTAGGTGGGCTCCATTTTTAACTTTTTCTAAAAATTGCAACACCGATTCGTTTGTTTGACGTGTCATGCGGATAAAATCTATCCGAGCCGAGAAAATAGATTTTGATGGCTGAAAAACGCGTATAGCCAAATTTCGTATAGTTTGCCAGGAAGCGGTTTCGATAGATTCTGGGTAAAGTAAATTTTGGATCTTTGATACACATCGTATCCCGGAGTAGGCCAGAAACAGTTTTTTTATCAGTTCTTCAGATCTCGGTAGTCCTTTAGCATCTAAAATAAACTTTATATTATCTTCATAATGTTCAAAAGGATCCTCGACATGGTATTCTGGAATTGTTATCCTTGACAACCCCATATTCACCAGGTTCTCCTTGTTATCCGTTGTCTGTGCCATTGAACGTTGTTGGTTAATAATTTATTAAATAAGAAAAATATCAACGAAATATAAAATTATTGTTTGCTTATATATACATTTCCAGACATTCAAAATAGGTTTCATCATTCTGTGGGAAAATAAATTACATAAGAAAATAGGTATATAAATAAATATTCAAATTTATCCAACATTCCTTTCCCCATTCTTTTTTCGTTCTGGCTACATCTCTTCAATCAATCGCTTCGGCGCTCTTCTATTACGATCAGACCGTTGTAATTCCCTCTGACTATTCACCGTAGCTTCCACCGTCTCGGTAACTAGTTCGTCGTTATCCACCGTTGGCATCGCTCTCTCTCCTGCTGACCGTAATTGGTCTGCGTGTTTCCGCCATGTTTTACCTTCTGATTCAACTGAGTAGGAATATAAGCCGTTTCGTGTTTTGATTTTTCCTTCCTTCCAACCTTTTGCTATCGGATTTTTTATCCATACTGCCTCCTCTTCTCCAAACGTGCGCAAAGGTA